CTGTACCTGAGGGAACATCACAGATTCTGCTTGCTTAGTGTCACTGACTTTTACATAGCTGAGGAAACTGAGGCACAACAAAGTGACATTATCTCATCATCACAATCATTGTGAGACAGAAAACCACTCCTTGAAGCTTTACCATGTAGAAACCCTGTGTTTTGAGGCATCTAATTGATCAGTTACCATTTAGAAAGTGGAAGTAACTAGAAATGATAGCGTGATCATAAACACTTTGGGAAGAAGTGTTCTCACAATAAAGTGACTTCACTAAAAGACAAAACGTCACACATCTCAGAAGTCTGGCAGCACCATGCAGGGGGAGGTGCGGTCAGTGAGCTGTGCTTTCACAGAGACTCTGTCCTCAGAGAATGGAGCCAGTGCTGGGCCAAACTGTGGTCCTGCTACCAACAGTTGTGTCTCACCTCAAGGATCGAGGGTCCCTGTTATTCTAGTCCCTACCCTTATCACTCTAGAAATATGAGTGAACACCTCTGTAGCCCTTGGTAAATAACAGTAAACAAAAGAGAGGGACCTGGTTGGGCATGGCATCTCATGCCTGTAATCCCAGCACTAGGAAGGCTGAGGCAGGAGGATTGCTTTGCATTTGAGTCCAGTTTGGGCTACAGGGTTAAGTTTCATTCAGCCTGGACTACACTGAGACCCTGCTTTAAAAAAAAAAAAAAAAAAAGAAAAATAGGAAAGTCTTGGCTCACAGAGTTCCAAGACAGGAGAAAGACACTAAAGGCAAATCCACATAAGACAAGAAACAGCTATCCAGTTGAAGCCTAAGTCTAACTCTGTCAGTCTCCTGGTAGAAAACTCTTCCTAGTTCTTCACTCTGTACAGGACTGAAAATAAACAATAATAATGACTGTTGCCTTTATCGGGAGCTGAACAAGTGGCACACCACGAACCGCAATATTTTTCAATGACTTACTGTGAGATGCGTACTACCATGATCCCCACTGGCCAACAGAGATTCAAGACTTGCCACTTCACCACTGCTCATAAAGTATGTGACGGCCTCTCACCCCCAACTCTGAATTCTCTGAGAATGCCTACTTTACCTTCTGTCATTAGTACGCAGTAGTATACAATAAATGGCCACTGAATAAACTATCGACTAATCAACCAATGGGTTAGTTTCCCTCAAGGGATTACCAGCTAATAAACTCAAGTCATGAAACAAGAGAGATCAGGCTTCTGGGATCAGCCAATCCCACAAGAGGTAGCTGCAATACTGTGGAAAGAGCCAGAGTCAGGGTGTAGGGACCCAATGCCTCTGTACATTCCTGCAGCTTGAACTTGGATAATTGTTTCCTTACTCTTGGCTTGTCTACTTAAAACTATAATGAAGAGTGAAACAATAAATCTAGGATCTCTTCCAGCTCTAATGCATTTTATTTTTAATTATGTGTGTCTATACGTGGCAATGCAGGTATGTGCACATGAGTGCAGGTGTCCTTGCTGGCAAGAAGGCGACATTAGATCCTCTGGAGCTGGAGTTACAGGAAGTTGTGAACTGCCTGACATGGGTGCTGGGAACTGAACAGTACATGCTCTTATCTGCTGAGCCATCTCTCCAGCCCCCCCCCAAATTTTTATGCCTTTAAAATATACAAGAAAAGGGGAGCTTGGGGGGACATTTGAAATTGCATTCTGCCTGCAATTCCTTTTATTTATTTATTGACTTCTTTGCTTATGTGGTGCTGGGAATCAAACTTAGGGCTGCACACATGCTACTCAAAGATATAACCACTGAGTTACATCCTCAGCCCTGTCTGGAATTTCTCAATCTTCAAATGACCTCTAAAATTAAACATTTTAGACAAAGGCCTACCAAGGGCAAGTTAAACTCTTCCTCTCTTGTCACAGCTCAATAGGCTCATTTCTTCTAATAAAGTAGATTCACTTCCCATGACAAAGATGCTCAACTTGGGAAATCCTTCCAGAGGAATATCCAGATGAGTGTGGAGGAGGCCACGGATCCGGTACACAGAGCAGAGGTGCTGGTGGTATGCATGAGCCCACGGCTAAATGCTGAAATGGGGACACAGCCCACCTCCTTTCAACTCCTACTCACTCAGAGAATACCACAGAGGCAAAGCAACAGCTGGGGGTGTCCAAGGTAACCACAAACATGGAATGCCAGCTCCAAAGTCCCATCACAGGAGAGCTTACTGCTGAGCAAGCATGGTTCGTTTGCTACCCAATGAGAGCACTGGGTAAGAGCTGAGCTCCAAATGAGGAGGCCAATCTGTTCTTTTTCTTTTTGCTGCTTGGGCTGGTTCTGAACTCTTGCTTGTTACCCATGACTACAAGATGGGAAGAGCATTACCATTCCTACCATCTAGAGCCCCTGTGAGATTTTAAGCAGAAAGGTAGGCTGACTGAGCCATACAGAGAAGACACCCAGTAAACAACCTGTTGCCAGTGATGTGGCGGTGATGGTGATGGTGATAGTCATGGTCATGGTGATGGTCAGGGTAGATAAACCCACCTGAAATCAGGAAATCCAACCCTGGGCTCTTCAAAACCCCTCAGGCTATCAAAAGAGAAGCTATTGTTCCTGCTGTAGATCAGTGCACTTGGATACTTTTCAGAAGAGAAAGTGATGCTGTACCTGCTCCTGGGAAGGCCTGGGCTGCCTAGGTGGACTGGGGCTCCGGGTCTTGGGAGAGGTTATTGGTTTTCTATGAGGACAGAGGCTTATAAGTATCACCAAGAGTGAAACCAGGCCAACAGAGTCTGGAGATCAACTTCCCCAGAGGAAAAAGAAAGGGAAGAAACAGGTACCATTGTGTACCTGTACCCAGCAAACTGCAAAATGTAAGAGAGATCTGAGGTTTGTAGGAGGTGGACAAACAGGAAACCTGGTACCCAGCTGGCAAGCCAAACAGTGTTCTTTGAGAGTGGTTGGTTTGGTAATGTTTGTTAGGATCATAAATGCAGATGCAGGATGGTCAGGAACTCTTCTTTTTGATAACCACCATAGATAACTATGTGATTCTATGTTGCCTGTATGCCCACAGGCCAAGAAAAGGGGAAGAAAATATATCAGCGCATGTATCACAACATTATTATAAGCACAAAAACCAGAACCAATCCAACAACCACGTAGCTGAATGAGCAACCAGTGAGAGTTTCACACAATGCGCCTTGCACCTGGCTGTAGTGTGAAAACAAGCGGGATTCACAAGATGGTCCCAAAAGCATTGTAGGATGCAGTACTAAACTTAATAAAGGGTTACAAAATAGGTCAGCCAGCATAGCATGACAGCATGCATTTATAAAGAAGAAACAGGGGACTGGAGAGATGGCTCAGTAGATAAAAGAATTTGTCATACAAGTGTAATGACCTGCATTTGGATCCCCAGTACCCACATAAATACCAGGTAGGCGTGACAGCCTGCCTGTAAACCCAGCACACAGGACGCAGAAACAGGATCCCTAAAGCACGCTGGCTAGCCAAACTAGGTGATTCAGCAAACTCTGAGTTCAAGTGCGAGAACTTGCCTCCAAATATAGGGTGGAAAGTGATCAGGAAGACACCTGAGGTGAACCTCTGGCCTCCACGTGCATACAAGAATACACATACACACACACACACACACACACACACACGCATGCATGCAGGTGCGCGCGCCAGCCAAATAAAGGGGAAGAAAGAATGACTTTTTCTTTGTATCTAGACACCCAGAGAAAGTTCAGGAAGGAAATGTGCATATCATGCACAGTGCAAACATGGACTCTGTGGATCACGGGGGACAGCAGGAGTGAGGGGTGGTAAAGGACTGAAAATGAAAGTGGGATCAATGAGGGCATCATTTTTGTTGTTGTTTTTGTTTTGTTTTTTGATACAGGGTCTTCCTATAACCCCAACTGACCTGGAACTCACTATGTAGACCAGGTTGGCCTCAATCTCACAAAGATCCACCTGCCTCTGCTAGGATTAAAGATGTGTGCCACCAAGCCTGGCCAGTCTTATTTTTTTTAACAAGGATTATGTCTCTATATATGTTCTGAATAGCAAAATTAGATATGCATTGACTACTAAAATTAGATTAAATTTTTTAAATTATTCTTAAGGAGGAGCTGGAGAGATGGCTCAGCAGTTAAGTGCACTGGCTGCTCTTGCAAAGGACCCAGGTTTAGTTCCCAGCACCCACATGGAGGCTAACAACAATCTGTAACTCCAGTTCCAGGGGATTCAATGCCCTCTTCTGACCTCTGCAGGTACTGCATGATACAGGCACACTTACATATATGCAGGCAAAACAGTCATACACATAAAATAAAAATAATAGAATATTTTAAAAATTATTCTTAAGAAGAAAGAAAGAGCCAGGTGTGGTGGTGCACGCCTTTAATCCCAGCATTCAGGAGGCAGGGGCAGGAGGATCTCTGTGAGTTCAAGGTCAGCCTGGTCTACATAGCTAGTTTCAGGACAGCTGGGCTACAGGGAGACCCTGTCTCAAAAAAGACCACAAAAAAAAAAAAGAAGAAGAAGAAAGAAAGGACGCAAAAGGGAAAGGATTTGAAATGGTGACTGTAAGAGCTGAAGCTACATAAAAAAGCTCGGGGTCCGCCCCTGCTTGTTCTGGAAGGGCTGAGCACTCACAAATGTAAATATTCTGAGCAGGTATCATAGTTTGGGGATGAACACCCACAGTTCTGAACTGAAATGTCTAATTCTAGACCATATAATTTTTATTTAGACTAACTCATGCTTCTGAGACTTGGGAAATTTCCCTCATACTAACAGTGTCACCTCTTGGTGTAATACGCTAGAGATGTGGAAGGACGCACACATTTGCAGCACAGAGGATCAAACCTACACAGAGCCTCACACATGCTGGGCGAGCATTCTACCACTGAGCTCCACCCACAACCCCATGCAATCTCCAGATTCTTCAAGGTTTCTACTAACTCATAGAAGCATAAAGGAATTCTGTGTTGCACTCAATTATTACACAGCCTTTTTCTTTCATTTTTACCTTTCCTTGTTTTCTTCCATTCCTCTACAGACGCACTGATTCATTACTGTGGAGCTCTATGCAGACTTGGTGTGCCAGGCCCAGATTTTCTTTCTTTAAAAAAAAAAAAAAAAGCAAAATGACAAAGGGAATAAATTAGAGAAAAATATAATTACACATACTTAGGAAAACTCCAGAATAGAACCTACTCCTTTAGATACTAACTTTAAAAATGGATTTAAAGAGTGAAAATGGGCTGGAGAGATGACTTGGGAGTTAAGAGTATTGGCTGCTCTTCCAGAGGAACCAGGTTCAGTTCCCAGCATCCACATGACAGCTAATGACTGTCTGTGACTCCAGTTCTAGGGGATCCAATGCTTCTTCTGGCCTCCTTGCGTATTGCATGACATAGGTGCACTTAGATTCATGCATGCAAAACACTCATACACATAAAAATAAATAAAATTTAAGAGTGGAAAATAAATGACCATTTATGCATATAAACAACTGGCACATTTAAATTATAAATATACAAAGAGCTACATTGGAATATGTCAAAGGCTACCTAGTGTTCTCCAAAATCCATCTTCCTTTCTTCCAGTCACATGTTGAGCATCCCTAAATCCAAAATCTAAAATGCTCCAAAGTCTGAAACGTTTAGCCCAAACAAGATCCCACAAGTAGACAATTCCACATCAGAAAACATGATCTCATTCACAAAATTATATTTTTAAAATATTGTATAAAGTTAACTTTGGGCAGTGTACATAAGATATATATGACAGAAAGACGAATCTTGTGTTTAGACGCAAGTCCCTTCTCCAAGATATCTCATCATATGGAGGCAAATATTCCCAAATCTGAAAAAACTTGGAACACCCTGGTTTCTAATAAGGGATACTTATCTGAGTTTTCTCAAGGATTACTTTCCCAGGCATCCTTGCACTAGGGGTAACCATAAGTCTGAGTCCCCAGGGGAGTGTGAGAGTAATATGAACCGCTTCTAAAGCTGGGTCTAAAGTCGTGAGCATGGCGCTTCTATAGTCCCACTGGCTGGAACCCAACTCTAACCATGCAGATGGCAATGGTGCACCTGGAAAGGACACAGCCGACCAAGGAGAAGATACCTGGGGCTGGGACTCCGTGGAGCACAGCTGACCGTTTCCCCTTTGAACTACTAGGTAGACAGCAGTTTCTTGAATCTTTAAATCACTGGGGTTTTAACCTACCTGGTTCTATGATAGCACGTGTTCACTGCAGCTCTTCTGAGCATAAGTTTACTCACTTGGAGCCTGAGACATGCTATTTCTACAGAGACAGATGAGGCCAAATTCTCAGGGGTGGGGGGGTTCGGAATGTGAGTAAACTACAAGGAATTTCAAGAGGGCCCAGTGCATAGTATACACACAATCTGTATTTAATCAGAGATGCTGACAGCTGTGTGGCATTTTCTAGAGTGAGACTCATGAGTAGGGCATCAGGCACAGAATAAGGAGCACAGGCATCTGAACTTATCACAAAACGACTCCTTGGAAATGGCAAAGCAGCCCCAAAGGGACATGATGCCTGCTCCCAAAGGTTAAAGCTGAGGTGCCCAGAAGCAGAAGCTAGAGGAAGGCAGACAGTTAGGGTAAGGAGGCAGGGCTAGAGAGAATACTCCAGTGCTGTGCAGGTTCCCCTCACTTCTCCAGTCTAAAGCACCTGCCCCATGGGGAGACTAAGCGCTACTCCAAGGTTCCTACTTCAGTTGCAGCTACTGTATTCCTCACCACGCATGCTGAGGATGGCATCGAAAGATAAATTCTCCTCATAGGCACGCCTCTGGATGCAAACCAGCTATTTCACTGGGTGGTAGACAAAAAGAGCAGTGTCCACTCTAGACTGTCGTCCTTAGGGATAGCATGCTGGCCTCCAACCCAGTGCCTCCTCGACAGAGAACCTGGGGTAATTCTGACCACCCATGGTCTGCCAAACTGCTACTGTGTTTATGGCCCAGCACCACTGCCCCAGCTGCTTTGACCATTGAGCCTCAAAGGCCTGCCTGCCCACATCTCTGGCCTATCATCCTCCAGTTGCTCCATATGGGTCTGGTCTTCTCCTAGGTTAAGGCACCTTCTGGAGAACCCCCTGATCCAGGTGAACAGGATCAGATTCCTAGGATGTACCAGGGGGAACTAATAAGACGGTCAGTGTTGGGGAGAATCCTCAGGCCATGCCTCCAATGTTGCTCTTTCATTTAACTTGCAAAAATCAGCCTATGAGATATTTTTAGCTTCTGGATCCCTGTCTGGGGCCACGGCTCTGGCTTCCATCAGAGCTAACTTCATCAGCTGCAGCATGTGCATTCTGGAGGGGCTGGGAATAAGGTGAGAGTGAAGATATGGATCCTGGAAAGGGAGAGGGACAGGAAGTGGGACTTGAGTACAGAGTTCTGGAGGTGCCTTGGCAACCCTGCTGCAAAGCAGGAGAGGAGGGGAGGATCAAGCAGCCCATACCTGGGTCACTCTGTGGCTGGAATCATCTCAGCCTACCTCACTTCAGCCTGGAAGCAAAGTCTGCTTAGTCAACTTCTGCATGCAGCAGTGACTGCAGCATAGGACCCTACCCCTCATCCCAGAAGGGAAGCACAATAACACCCTCCTTAAAGCCACCTCTCCCAAGGAACTATGGGAAGGCAGAACCTACCCTTGAGGGGCAGTGAGCTTGTCCCTCAATTGGAGGAAGTATTCTGTTGCTTTTTGTTTGACATAGGTTCTCATGTAGCCTAAGCTGGCCTCCAACTCACTCTGTAGCTAGGGATGACCTTGAACTTCTGAACCTCTTGTCTTCAAACTCCCACATACTGAGATTATAAGCATGTACCACCAAGTCATCCATAAGCCATCACCCTTCAAGCTTGTGACTTGATGTAGGGCAACCATCTCTATCCCAGCACTGAGGGATGCCAAGGAACAGGCTCTGACAGGGAGGATGCCACAGAATTCCCACACCAGCCCTAGGAGGGAGACGATGCTACTGTCTCCCTCTAAGAATCAGAAAACTGGGGGCTGGAGAAATAGCACAGCGGTTAAGAACACTGATTGTTCTTGCAGAAGACCTGGGTTCGAATCCCAGCACCCACAACTGTCTGTAACTCCAGTTCCAGGGGATCCAACAGTCTCTTCTGTCCTCTGCCAGCAATGCACCACACAGGTGCACTTACCTACATGCAGGCAATACACACATACACATAAAGTAAAAATAATATTTAAAAAAAAAAAAAGAATCAGAAAACTGGAGGCTGGGGGTGCTGCTCAGTAGTAGAGGGTGTACTTAGAATGCATGAGGTGTGCACTTCCTGCCTCACCGCACAGAGAAAAGACTTAGGAAACTAGGCACAAAAAATACCTACAAACAGCCACCCAGACTGCAGGTGGCAAAGCTAAGATTAGAGCAGGCACATGGCCTAAGAGGTCTGTGTTCCTCCCTGTCATATTATGTGTTCAATAAAGCTTGAATGAATGATGAATAAATGATGAATGAACAAATGGACACTGAGCCCAGGGTCACCAACTCCTGTACAAGGAATGCACACTGCAGCCACCACTGCCTGATTCTGCCTCCTGTCTAAGGGAATAAACTTGGGCCTTCCAGGCACCCATGACCCCACAGGGAAGCCAGGTTCACAATCACTTTACAGACAGCAAACATAGAGCTCCAGGCTAGACCTGATTTTGGGCAGAGTACCAGGATGGTCGCAGTTCTCAGACTGAGCAGCTGACTGCACAACCTGGGCTTTCCCCACCATTCACCTAGGTCAATGAGAACCACCCAAAGATGAGATAAGCACTGTTCTAACTCTTCAGGCAGAAAGCTCTGTGTTAATCTCAAATCCATCAGCATTGACCACCCCAGGCACTTCCCTGGAAGAGAAATTATAATTCGCCCAGGTAGAGACTGGCACCACCCTGCCCTCATTCCTCTCCTCAGCTGGCTGCATCAGTACCAATTGGCATCTGCTAAGTATCGATCTCTGCAAAGCTGACCACTGTGTCCACTGGGCACTAAGTCCTATTATTTCATCATTTAAAAAGTTCCACTCCCAGAAGGCACCAGGTGTTGGTGAGGATGTAAAGTAACCAGAACTCCCATACTGCTGCTTTCCAGCACCTTCAAAGACTACAGCAACAGCTACTCTATACATGCACTGAGATCTGTTCCAGAATGTTCTCAGTAACACTCTTCATAACAGAGTTATATTCATTATCCATTGCTGCTGTTGAAAATTACCACGAAATGTGTCCTTTCACATGGGCAGGTAGGACCACACTCCTTCTAGAAGCACTAGAGACATCATTCCCCCATGTTTTCCAGCTTCTGTAGAATTTCTATTAAATGTTTTGAAATTTTTTTTATGTGTATGAGTGTTCTGCCTATATGTAAGTGCATCATGTACAGGTAATGCCCACAGAGGCCAGAAGAGGGTGTCAGATTCCCCAGATCTGGAGTTACAGAGGGTTGTTAGCTGCCATGTGGGTACTGCAAACTGAACCCAGGTCCTAACTGCTAAGCCATCTCTCCAGCTCTAGAACTTAAAAAAAATTAATTAATTAAAAAAAAATCCACACCGATTCCAGATTCCACTTGGTTTCTCAAGCATTCAAGTGATAAATCAAAAGCCTTCACCAGGGGCTGGAGAGACAGCTCAGCGGTTAAGAACACTGGTTCGAATCCCAGCACCCACATGGCGACTAACAACTGTCCATAACTCCAGTCCCAGGGGATCCAACAGCCTCTTCTGACCTCTGCAGGCATTGCACGACACAGGTGCACTTACCTACATGCAGGCAATACACGCATACACATAAAAGTAATAATAATTTTTTTTAAAAAAAAAAAGCCTTCACCAAATATGATCTCGTCATCTTCAGTTCTCAAAATAGGACCATACCTCAGAGAGCCTTGCCCAGCTCCCAGCTGCGCCTGCTCTGCATTACACTTGGCATCAGAAGAGCTATGGAGCTCTATAAGCAAACAGTTGTCAGGGTTTGTCCTTCAGGCTTTTATCAAGCAGGGACAGAGCTGGATACATTTTTTCCTGCTATCTACTCACCTTAGGCCTAGAGCCAAAGTCA